TTGGGTCTTGGACAGACCATCTTATAGCTCTCAGGTCTCGTACGGACCGTGTTATAGCTCTTAGATAAATCAGTGTTACAGTTCAGTGTTACAGATCTATTTTATTTAGATAATAGCAGGAAAATCCATCTTTGAGGCATGAGGGCATGTTGACCCAAAAATGCGAAGAGAAGAGCACCCCATCGAGCGGGAGAGAGGGAGAGAAGAGAGTTTGGCTCCTCTTTTTTTGGGGGGTGCTCCTCTTTTTATGTTTTTCTCTCCTTAGGCCTGTCCTATGTAAATTGGGCCAGCCAGGAGTGCTGTTTGTTTTACCTGAGGTCCTTACTCCAGTGCTCAGACCTTCCTTTGTTCTATTTTCACAGGCTTTTCCCTTCCAGGTCTTTTAGCCACCGCCATTCAGGACTCCTTTTCCCTATTCTAACTACCTAACAAAAAGAAATGCAAAAAGGCAAAATGGTTGTCTGAGGAGCCCTTACAAATAACTGTGAATAGAAGAGAAGCAAAAGGTAAAGGAGAAAAGGAAAGATAAACCCTTTTGAATGCAGAGTTCCAAAGAATAGCAAGGAGAGATAAGAAAGCCTTCCTCAGTGATTAGTGCAAAGGAATAGAGGAAAACAAGAGAATGGGAAAGTCTAAAGCTCTGTTCAAGAAAATTAGAGAAACCAAGGAAACATTTCATGCAAAGTTGGGTGCAATAAAGGACAGAAATGGTATGGACCTAACAGAAGCAGAAGATATTAAGAAGTGGCAAGAAGTGACACAGAAGAACTGTTCATAAAAGATCTTCACGACGCAGATAATCACTGGGTGATGATGTAATCACTTAACTAGAGCCAGACATTCTGGAATGTGAAGTCAAGTGGGCCTTAGGAAGCATCACTATGAACAAAGCTAATGGAGGTGATGGAATTCCAGTTGAGCTATTTCAAATTCTCAAAGATGATGCTGTGAAAGTGCTGCACTCAATATGCCAGCAAATTTATCTGGATGTAGCATGTATCAATAAACACTCCTTTTCATTGTTCTGAAGTATTCCATTGTATGGCTGTCCCATTATTGTTTATTTTGTAGCCATTCATTACTTGTTGGTCATTAAGATGTTTCCAGTTTTTAACTATTACCAAGAAAAAGCTGCTGTGAACAGTCACATAAAATTATGCTTTCATTTATATTGAGGGATAATTCAGTCATAATAAAATTTACATATTTAAGGAGTACAAGTTTGTTTATATAGTGGCCAGGCTTCTCTGTCCATGGGATTTCCCAGGCAAGAATACTGGAGTGGGTAGTCATTCCCTTTTACAGGAGATTGAGAGGGTAACAGGCAGGAAGGCCAGGGGTCTCCAAATGGAGGAAATAGTTTCAAGTGTCAGACATTTTTATCTCTCTTAAGCAGCAGGAGGAAACAAACTAGAGATTTTTTTCCCCTTCTCTATACAAATTTAAAAGGAGGTTTCTCTTAAAATACTGTGTTGCCATAAGGACACCTGGTTTCACTTGAAGTTAACTATTCTCAAACCTTGAGTTAACCAATGCATTTTTCTTATGGAAATGTTTGTCTTAAGCTATGTTAATGTACTATGCATTTACCCCAGACTCTGTCTTCAAGTCAGTTCCACCTAATGGCTCAGAACCTACTTGACAAACCAGTATGTTATACTCAGATATTGTTCCCCTAACCTATGTAAAAGAAACTATTTGTAGTAATTTGTCCTTCTACAAGATTCAAGTCAATATTTTTATGGCCTGGGATGAATCATCTGGTGCCAAGATTATCCCAAAATGCATTTAATGGATGAGGGGCCTGGTGCCATTCTGAGTTGTAAGATGTTCCTTTCTTTCATTAACAGACTGCTAGTGACTATATAACATCCAGCTGAAGACTAGCAGGGGATACTCTTTATGCCCCCTTCTGATGCTGATGTCAGAAGATTTCTCTATCTCCTTTATACATTAATAAAACTTTATTGCACAAAAGCTCTGAGCAGTCAAGCCCCATCTCTGGCCCCAGATTGAATTCTCCTCCAGAGGCCAAGAATCCCCGCATCTTTTCATTCAGCAACAACCTTTCAAGATCTTCCCCATCCAGGGATTGAACCCAGGTCCCCTGCATTGTAGGCAAATTCTTTGCCATCTGAGCCACCCAGGAAGCCCATATAATTTGACTGGCATATGAAATTATGTAATGACCACCATCATCAAGCTATAGAGTATTTCTATCACGCCCAAAAGTTCCCTGAGTCCCTTCCTTCCACTCCTGGTAACTGGCAACCACTGATTTCATTTCTGTCCCTGTAGCTCTGTCTCTCTAGAATGGCATGTAAAAGGATTCATGCAGTGTATGAACTGTTTCTTTGTCTAGCATCTCTCACTTACAGCTTTTGAGATTCAGCTATACTTGCTGCATATTTCAGCAGTTCGCTCCCTTTTGTTTCTGAGTAGTATTTCATTATGTGAATATAAGACAATTTGTTCACTAGTTGCCACACATTTGAATAGTTTCCAGTTTGCAACATGTTAGGTAGTTAGAATAAGGAAAAGGAGTCCCGAATGGCGGTGGCTAAAAGACCTGGAAGGGAAAAGCCTGTGAAAATAGAACAAAGGAAGGTCCGAGGACTGGAGTGAGGACCTGAGGTAAAACAAATAGCACTCCTGGCTGGCCCAATTTACATAGGACAGGCCCAGGGAGAGAAAAACAAATAAAAAAGAGGAGCTCTCTCTCTCTCCTGTGTGCTGGGGTGCTCTTCTCTTCATGTTTTTGGGTCGACATGCCCTCACGCCTCGAAGATGGATTTTCCTGCTATTATCTAAATAAAATAGAGCTGTAACACTGATTTATCTAAGAGCTATAACACGGTCCATTTGAGACCTGAGAGCTATAACACGGTCTGTCCAAGACCCGAGAGCTTTGGTACGCCAAGGGGGGCTTTAATGTCCATTACTCCAAATCTTTGTTGTGACGAGACAAAGAACCAAGGAGCATACACTCACCTGACAGGGCATATGCATTAATAAAGCGGCCACAAGCATTCCCACACAACTCTTTTTGTGGGCATATGTTTTCATTTCTGGTGAGTAAATACCTAGGAGTGGGGTATGCTAGGTCAAAACAGTCAGAAACTACTGAGCAACTGAACTGAATGAACTGATAGTAAGTCTATCTTTAATTTTTTAAGTACACGTGGTTAAGCAGGAGAGCTTTCTTTTTTTTCTTTTCAGGCAATAGTCAGCACTCCCAGACAGGAGATCATGGCCTCTTGTGGCTCTTGAATCCTTGGAGTCCCAGCTGAGTCAGGGCCATGGGCGCCTGGAAACAAGGCCTTGATATCCCTGAGGCAGTTCAGAGCTGCAGGAGCTCAGAGGTCCCCAGAATCCTAAGGAGACACTTCCAAGGCTGCCTCGGGAACCCAGGGTTTCAATCAAGAGTGTTCCTCTTTCACTTTTAATATTCCTTCTGGATACAGTTTGGTACTTAAACAACTTTCAAAACTCCTGTCTGGGACTCCTGATCAGAGCCCTCAGCTGCCCTCCTCCATCTAGCTATACAGGAAAATGTGCTTCCTCCTCCTGAGAGGCTTCTGGTCAGAGCCAAGCCTTCTGCCATTTACCAGCTGAGTGACCTTGGGCAAGCCCCTTCCCTGCATGGGGTGTCATTTTCTGTAAAACTAGGGGTGGAGACGAGCAGGCAGGACCATGGCTTTTCAGTTTCTTTAATGTGGGGTGATTTTAGAGGAAGCAGAAAAATCAGACAGGCTCACCCCTTCACACACATAAACTTCCTCCTCCATATAAGATACGGCCTGGAAGCTGGGCAAGGGACTGTGAAAAGAGGAAACTGTCGTGTACACTAAAGGTCATAGGGGAATACTAGGCAGCAATGAAAATAAATGATTTTCATTGATTTGTAACCACAGGCAACAATAATGATAAATCTCAGAGACATACTGTAGATGAAAGGAGTTATATACAGAGTGTGTGCGATATGATTCTTGTTATCTAGGCTCTAGGTTCCACGTATGAAAACACATAAAATTGCTCTGTTCTGTTGTTCCTGTTCACTCGCTCAGTCATGTCCTGCTCTTTGCTAACCCATGGACCACAACATGCCAGCTTTCCCTGTTCACAGAATTCTCCCCACCAGATTACTGGAGTGGGTTGCCATTTCCTCCTCCAGGGGATCTTCCTGACCCAAGGCTTCATTGAGAACATATGAAAGGGTGGGAACAGGAGCCATACAAGATACCTAGGCAGGTGGCAAGTCAGCCGTAAGTACCAGGCAGGTAGGAGGGAGAGGGAGATAGCGAGGAGGTCACTGTGGCAACACACAAGTAGAGGAAGAGGTCAGGGAATTTATGAGCGGCCAGATTCCATCAGCCTTGTAGGTCGCTGTGAAATTCAGAATTTCTACCCTGAGTGAAACGGGAAACCTTTTCAGGGCTTTCAGCAGAGGAAGTTCATAAGCTGTTTTTCGTTTTTTAAGCATCTCTCTGGCTGCAATGTGAAGAGACAAAAGAAGAAAAGTGAAATCAAGACGCCATTGCATTAATCCAGGCGAGGCATGATGGCGGTTTAGACAATCATGGTGGCAGGTGTAAAAGTAATACATTTGATATTTGTTTAATTCAAGTTGCGGCATTATGACTTGTATTGAATGCATTGCTAATATGCTTCTGCGGTGGGCGTTTTGCAGCCTGGATTTCAGGTAAGGGTAAGGAAGGAAGAGGGGAAGGATGCTTTGAGGTTACCAAGGGAACAGAACATCACAGATCTGAAAGCCTGAGACGACTCTAGGCCTTTAGGCCTCTGGCGCAGCAATAATTCCGCAGCGGAGACCACCAGCGCTTCCCAAAGACCATGCGCAACAGGCCGGGGTGGGAGCCTATGGAAACCGCAGACCTTTCGCACAGCGGGACAAGCGCATCCCGGGAATCGTAGTTCTGCGCTCTTGCGCAGGCGCATTTAGTCCCCCGCCGCCTTGCGCGCGCAGCTCCTGCAGGACCAGTTTCTAGAAGCTCATTGCGGTGGCGTTGGTGCTGGCTGCGGTTCTTGACGCAGGTAGCGGTTGCCCCTAGCCCCTAGTTTGGGGGCCGAGGCCAGGTTGCCAGTTCCGAGGGCGTACCTGGGACGGGGTGGGGGCCGAGGGCAATCTCGCTGTGCACTCCCAACATTGCAGCTTATGCGGGAGATAAGCGCGCTCCTGGATGGAGCTTTCTTCCATCCCTTCCCTGAGCCCACGGTCTTGCAACTTCGCTACTTTGGTATTTTGGGCGGGAAAAGTCATTGTGTGTGCGTGTGGGTAGGGGGAGCTGTCCCGTGCTTTGCGGAATGTTTAGCAGCATCCCCGGCTCCACTCATTAGGTACCAGTAGCATCCCACCTCCCCAGTCGTGATAGCCAAAATGTCTTCAGACGTTGCCGAGTGTACCCCGTGGGCCAAATCCCCCCTCCTCCTCTTTTGAGAACTTCTTTCTGCCTGCGTCACATTTTCACGGAGCCTTTATTGTAAGCTCCTTGGAGTTCCGGTGCGAGTGCCTTAGCCACTGCGGACTCCCAGGTGTCCAGCGCGTCTCTAGGTACGTGGTGGGCGCTTAGTATTTGGAAGAGGAATAAATGACGTCAGGCATAGTGTGTGCGGCGCTCTGTGCCCCTCGGAGGTGGGTAATTAATTGCAGTTGTAGCTGGAGGAGAGTGTCCTCACTTGTCGCAGTGTAGCGCATCTGAGACTGTATTGTCATTTCCTGAGTGATTTGTGAGGGTGGGGGCCCCGTCTGACTCGTTCGCGTCTAAATGCATAGTGCCAGGTTCCAGGTCGCTGTAGACGGTCAGTTGTTTATGGAATGAGAAGGCGTGCAACACAGGGCCGACTGCGCAGAAGAGTATTTGGGGATCAGAGAAAGCCTCATCCAAGAGGTGTCAGTGGAGTCGGGTTTTAAAGAATGAGCAAGTTTGATAGAGGAAATTTGGCAGCTTTCCTGGGGGAGGGAATTAATGACTGTTGTAAAGGCGGAAGGGGTTAAGAGTTGCTGGAAATGGAGAGATACCTCTTTATGGCTGCAAGGTCCATCAGGGCAGCAGCAGCTGAAGGTGAGGTCATCAGGACGGGGTTTCAAGATCATCATGCGTGACTTGTGCGTTTGAATTTTATCTTGAGACAGTTGGGGAGTTATAAGACCATATTTTAGATATTAGAAGAAATCTGTAGGCTTCAGTGTAAGACTGAAATTGAATGAGGCTGTGCTTAGGTAATTTCAGTAGTAGAGAATAGAGAGGTTCTTAGGAAATAATAAAGCCACCAGAACTTGGTTATTGATTGTGTGAGAAATCTGAGAGTCAATTATGAAATCAGGTTTCTGAGTTGAGCAACTGGTGGGAAACTGTGGCCATTCACCAGGAGAGGGCAGGAGTGGACTCGGTTTGGAGCCTCTTGTAGCAGTGAGCTTTTTCTGATATGTTTTGCTGATAAGGAGTATCTGAAGAAACTGTTTTCTTGGAGGGTCTGTACCTTTAATTACCCTCAGGTAACTTCTCAGCTTTTCACCTACTTCTCCTGGGCAGGGCAGTTCTCTGCCTCTGAGAATGTGTGTGTGTGTGTGTGTGTGTGTGTGTGTGTGTGTGTATGTGTTTCTATAACAGAACGAAATCAAAAACAGTGTTTTTTTTAGGATTCACAATTTATTTCACTTATTTTGTATCTTATATTTCTTGATGGTTTCTGCAGGACCAAAAAGTGGATCCTTGAAACACTTGGTATTTTGCTGGAGAGTACCTGTTGGTGGACTGTGCTGACACTCAGAGTCTAAAGGAGACTGGATTTCTGTTGGTGATACACATTGCAAGCAGGTGTAGCCTAAACGAGATGACAGCTGTCTCCCCAGATCCTCACACTCTGGTCTCAAGTGAACAGAACAAAGTCTTTAGGATGGAGACTCCCGGGAATCCAGAAGCTCTCATGAAAGGAGACACTGCTGACCCAGAGTCTTTCAGACAGAGGTTCAGGTGGTTTTGTTACTCTGAAGAGGCTGGACCCAGAAAAACCCTGAATCAGCTATGGGAGCTCTGTGTTCAGTGGCTGAGACCAGACATCCACACGAAAGAACAGATTCTAGAGCTTTTGGTGTTTGAGCAGTTCCTGACCATCTTGCCTGGGGAGATCAGGATTTGGGTCAAATCGCAACATCCTAAGAGTAGTGAGGAAGTGGTGACCCTAGTAGAGGATTTGACCCAAGTGCTTGAAGAAAAGAAAGGTGAGATTAATAGGTGAAGGGGGGAAGTGGGAGAGATTGTCTCAAGATAATGACAGTAGACTCCCCAAAAGAATGTTTTCATTTGATAAGTGACTCTTGTGCAAGATGAAAGAAGCAAATTACTACATGACGTTGCACATATGCTGTTCCACATTAATACATCTCATAGATATTATTATTATGAAAAGTAAATACATTAAAGTAGTAGGTATATAGAATGAAAGAAATCATATTTTATGAGCCTAGGAATTGAAAGAATATTTTAGAGGGTAGTGGGGGAAAGCTTGGGTTTAAGTACAAAACTGTATGTGTGGCTGTTCTGTGTTTGAAGGGCATAGGAAAAACTTTTTCTTTGTTTAATCTGATCTTTTTCTCCAGAGTGACGCATATAATAATTTTTAGTCTGAGGAGCCCATTTGAAAGGCTGAATTGTTTTTTTTTTCCCCTTCCTAGAACCAATCTCTCAAGATTCTGTTGTTTCCCAAGAGGAGAACCCTGAAGAAGATAAAACAGTTTCTGTTCTTCCAAATACTGAGGCCCAGGTAAGCTTCCTTTCACTGGTTTTTCATTATTTTTTTTTTTCCAAACCATACATTTTCATTCTTAAGTTAATTTTTAAATTGAGGTCTAGTTGACACCCAGCATTGTATTAGTTTCGGGTATATAATGTAGTGGTTCGATATTTGTGTATATTCTAAAATGACCACCACGATAAGTCTAGTTAACATATTTCACCATATATGGTTACAGACCTTTCATTTTTAAGTAAATACTCAATGAGCTCCTCTTGGGTGGTATAAAGACACTAGACTAATTAAGACCATCTCCTTTTCATCTCAGTTTTCACATTCTTAGGGCTCATTCTTCAAATGCTATTTTACTTCAGTTATCAGAATTGGTCATACGTCTGACTCTAATAAGCTCAAAATTATTTACTAAAATCCAGCAATTATTCTTCATAAGACTGGTCAGGTGGAAATAGAGTTATATTTCCTGAACATGATAAAAAAAAGCATCTGGATAGTGTTGCAAAATAAAAAGCAGTCCTCACAATACCATTAAAAAGATAAGGATGTCTCACCTTACTGTATTAATGAGTATTTTCTGAATATTTTAGCCAATCCAGTGTGATAAGAAACAAATGAGGTAAGTATGGATATGAAAGAAGTTGTATATTATTTACAGATAATGTAGTCTTTTTGGAAAATCTCAGAGAATCAACTGAACATGTACTGAAATTCATTTAGAGGCTGAAAAAAGTAGCTGATTACAAATCAGTGTTTTCTATATACCAATAATTTTCAGGAAAAAAATTCTTATTTGCAATGGTAAATAATGGTGCTCTAGTAGCCTGGTAATGGCTCAGAGTGGCCATGTATCAGGGACATATCTCCCTGATATATCTACTTCCTTGTCTCTGGAACCTGAGAATGTTACTTTACCTGGAGAAAAGGTCTTTGCAGCTGTGATAAAATAAGGATTTGAAATGAGGAAATTACTCTGGATTGCATGGGTGGGCCCTCGGTGGCATTAAAGTGCACTTAGAGTTTGAATACCGGAACAGGAGAAAGCAATGTGAAGAGTGGAGTGATAAGGCTACAAACCAAGGAACACCGTGGAATGCTCGCAGCTAAGGAACCTGGAAGAGGCAAGGAATGGATTCTCCCTCAGAAGGCCCAGTTCCACCAACACCTGGACTTCAGACTTCTGGTCTCCAGAATTTGGGAGAATAAATTACTCTTTTTTTTAAGCCACCAGAATTCTGGTAATTTGTTACAGCAGCCACAGGAAAGCAGTGCTAACAGCCACTCTGCTGTACTGACTCTCAAAATGTCTTGCTATAGAGGATGCTGCGAAAAGTGTATTTTAATGATTAATTGCGCTTGTTGATAATTTAGAGTAATTGTAAGTGTATGTTATTGAACACAAATCCTTGTTTGATTGTGATAGAAAATAATTGCTACTTAGAATCAACTGGAAATTATAATTTGGAATATAGTTAGTGATGTTATTCTTCCATGTTTAATTTAAAGCCTATAGAACTTACATTGATTCTGCAGATTTTGGGATTGGGAAATGTAATTTGTGTTCTTCATTTAATATTTTCTGTTAGTCCCAGAAATCAGTATGTTAGGGTAAATTTGATCAATGTTAGTCATTCCAGAGACTCGTTATATAGCATTTCACATCAAGGAATGAATGGGAAAGGAGGGGATTGCATCATAATCTTGTTTTATATCACTTGTTATGGTTGTATAGTAGCTACCTTGTAGTTTGCTTGCAGATTCTTAAAGACTTGAAAACCATCACATCTATTGCTTCTCTGAATTCTTAGAATCTGTTTGGGAGTAACACAGTGCACACAGGCTGTCTTTGGTGTTCTAGGAATCCATGACACTTAAAGACGTGGCTGTCACCTTTTCCAGAGGAGAGTGGAGGAAACTGGAGCCTTCTCAGAAGGAGATATATAAGGAAGTGCTGCTGGAGAACTATAGGAACCTAGAATTTCTGGGTAAAGACATCTTCTCTTCATGATTTAGTGTCTAAATCTTGAGTATCTTTTTGTCCGCTAACATTGGAAGATAAGTGCTATTAAAGGTTTTGAGTGAGTTTACAGGAGTCATATGCCTAAACCTTAAAATGGGTCCTAAAAATGTACTTTTATATAGTGTTTTCTAAAAGAAAAAAGTCTTTGCTCCATTGAACTGAAAATGTTGAGCATCATTTTGCTGTCATCAAGGCCATACTGTCCCCAATTTTCTCCTCAAATTCCAGTACTGAAGTCTATTTTTGACAACTTCTTCTCTTCCCTGAAGAACTAAAGGCTGTGAATGTTGGAATGTCTTTGTTCTAGACAATAAAAAGGCATTTTCTATTTTCTCTGAACAGGCTTTCCAGTTTCCAAGTTAGATTTGGTTTCCCAGCTGAAGTGGGCTGGACTACCACGGCTGCTGCAAAAAGAAGTCTCCAAAGGCTGTAGACCAGGTGGGTTGGTGAAAAATAAAGAAGGACATTGAAACAGTTGCCTACCAAGTCATTTGAAAGAGGTTGTGAAATGTTAGGTGGTCTTGGTGCTAACATAGATGATGAAAATTTCTGCCTTGCCTTCCCGGAATGTTCACTTTAATAGGAGAGACACTCAGTCTGGGTCCTCTGAGAAGGAGGCCAAGATAGGCCACATCAGAGACTTACTGGTGGGGGATAATTCCAGGGACTGGAAGAGGCTGGGATTGCTAGGAATGTGTTGCAGGTCTGATTCCTGTGATGGGAGAGGGAAGGATGGAAGGCTGAGTAGGAAGCTTCTTAGATTGAAGTGCAGGTTGAGAAGATTTTAGCAAAGCCAAAAATGAACCTCCCTGCCAAAGTCATCTAGCAGAGTCGTATGCCTCGCAGAAATGGGCCCGAGTGTAATTGCCACTCTTTTCATTGACTGGGAGTACCTCTGGTGAAGTGGCCTTGGTGTGATGCTGTGGTAGAGTCAGTGAGCATCAACAGGGGCTGTCAAGTAAGTGCCCCAGAGGAGATTTGAAGGGCAAATTTCCATGGATGTCATAGATACAGAAATCAGGACAAAATGTGTTGATAATGGGATATACGCTATAATGATGGCATGTATAAGGAGCAATGGGAAAATATAGGAGCAAGGGGATAATTAACAATTGAATCTTGAAGAATAAGTAGGAATTCATCCAGTGGACAGCATGTTTAGTATAATCCAGTTTTGTTAAAAGAAGAAAAAATGTACATATATATGTATATCTAAATGTATAGATACGGGGTTTTACTATTAATATTTGGAGAGCATTCATGTTAATACTGGTTATCTTTGAGGAATTACATTTTTTCTTTATTCTTCTCTTTCTTACACTTTAATAATAAATCTTAACTAGATTTTTAAAAATTATAGTAAATGATTATTTATACATCAGTTGGGCTTCCCTAGCGGCTCAGACAGTAAAGAATCTATGTTCAATGTAGGGGACCCAGTTTCAATCCCAGTGTCAGGAAGATCCCCTCGAGGAGGGAATCTACCCACTCCAGTATTTTTGCCTGGAGAATTCCATGGACAAAGAAGCTTTGTGGGCTACAGTCCATGGGGTCTCAGAGTAGGACACAACTGAGTGACTAATGCATACACTCACTATATGTCAATACTTTGGTTTGTTTTAAGAAAAAACAATAATTTACTTTGTTGTTGTTCAGTTGCTCATTCATGTCCAACTCTGCTACCCCTTGGACTGCAGCATGCCAAACTTCCCTGTCCTTTACCATCTCCTGGAGCTTGCTCAAACTCATATCTTTTGTGTCAATGATGCCATCCAACCATCTCATCCTCTGCCCTCCCCTTTTCCTCCTGCTTTTAATATTCCCCAGCATCAGGGTCTTTTCCAATGAGTTGGCTCTTTGCATCAGGTGGCCAAAGTATTGGAGCTTCAGCATCAGTCCTTCCAATGAATATTTAGGGTTTATTTCCTTTTGGATTGATTGGTTTTATCTCCTTGCAGTCCAAGAGACTCTCAAGAGTCTTCTTCAACACTTTTCTATAGTCCAGCTTCCTTTTTTTTTTATTTGCCATGAGCTGTAATTTTGGATCTAACTGGCACCCCTTCTTCAGTTACAATGAAAGTGAAAGTTGCTCAGTCGTGTCCGACTCTCTGCGAGCCCATGGACTGTATATCCATGGAATTCTCCAGGCCAGGATACTGGAGTGGGTAGCCTTTCTCTTCTCCACGGGATCTTTCCAACCCAGGGATCCAACCCAAGTCTCCCACATTGCAGGCAGATTCTTTTACCAGCTGAGCCACCATGGAGGGCCAAGAATACTGGAGTGGGTAGCCTATTCTTTTTCCAGCAGATCTTCCTGACCCAGGAATAGAACTGGGGTCTCCTGCATTGCAGGCAGATTCTTTACCAACTGAGCTATAAGAGAAGCCCCCTTTGTTCAGTTAAATTGCCAGTAAAGAAGGTCAGGAAAACAGCTTTAGAATTTGGGTTGGGAGAGACATATGCATGGAGAAACTGGGATAGTGGAGGGAGATTCAGGGCTGAACCCGTCAGGAGTAACTGCCTGGCCCTCACAGGAGGATGACGAAGACTTAGATGTCATCCCTAGAAGCCATCTTGTTGTTGGGGAGATGCCAGCCACAGTCTCGGGTGCAGGGCGCGTCCTGGGCCTCCAGGACCAAACCTTGGGCCAGAACCATGTACCTGCTGGGGTTATTGGGCTCATAGACTGACAGTACCCTCTCCACAATTAGTCCATCTTATTAGCCCTTCATTTAAGTCAACCTCTTGGCTGTTTACAGTGTAATTACACAAATAAAGGATAGCAATTGTCTTCTTATGTTTAAGTAACATCTGGGAGAGTAGATTTGAAAATGGAATCTAAAAGTGTTTTGAGTAAAATTTAGCAGCATTGGTGTAAATACATGCCTCTCCCCCCAAGNTGATGGGACCAGATGAAAAGTCATTTATAACATACTGGAGAAAAAGTTTTTGACAAACAAAGCCATAATCAATAGCCATGATTTATAAAAAGCTCATGCAGACCAGTAAGGAACCCTGAGTCTGTTAGAAAAATGAGCAAAGAACTTCAACAGATAGCTGACCAAAATAATCTGATAGAAAGAAACTTTAAATAGCTATGAACATGAAAAAAATGTTCCAAGTCACTGGTCAGCAATGTAAGTTACATTTAAAGAATAACACTATTTATTATGAATCAAATTTGCAAAGGTCTAGAGAAAACGCATTTGACTAGAGATGAGTAATCAGGTACTTCTGCTCATGTATTGTGTGGTGATAGAACTTTTCTACCCTTTGGTTCAGTCACTTTTATGACTCACTTCTGAGAAAATATTAATCATTTGATAAACATTCCATACAGAAGTAATTAGTAGTAACATTGATATGATGGATTATTATATAACTCATATAAGCTATCTTTATGAAGAATTAACCAGTGAGATGGGAAAGAATTATGAAAAAAGTAACTACATATTATATACATAGATTTTCTACCCTAAAATATGTAGAAAATTTCTAGAAAAAAATCAGAATTTTAAATAATGGCTAACTTCCACATCCATGTAGCATCAAGCTACCAGGACAGCCCCCACCCCTCTTAATCTTCTCATTTCTTCTGCTAAAGAATTTGGCCTTCAGTGTGATAGGCTGCTTTGGGAGCTTTCTCTTCCTCAGAACTCTATATAGTAGCCCCAGTGTACCACATCATGATAGGAGCAACTCCAGTTTTGTTTTTGGCAGCATTTATTGTATCAACTCACTGACCGAGGTCCATAGTTTATCCAGGTTGACATTTGGGCAGAAGCTCTGCTTCCTTGCTAAGTGGTAACGCCTAATACCAACTTGCCCAAAATTAATGTAGTGTGACATTTGTCCTTTAGTCGTGTCTGACTCTGCTACACCGTGGACTGTAGCCCACCAGGCTCCTCTGTCCGTGGAATTCTCCAGGCAAGAATTCTGAAGTGGGTAGCCATTTCCTTCTCCAGGAGGTCTTCCCGACCCAGGGATCAAACCCAGGTCTCCCACACGGCAGGCGGATTCTTTACTGTCTGAGCCACACGGAAGCCCAAAGTTACCTGGGTGATATTTGTCAAAATCGATCCTGTGGTGACACATGCCACCAGTGTTACCCTGGCCTCCAGGACGTTTCCAGTGTTTGCCGTGCCTGTGGTTCACGTGGCCCTTAAGTTTCCAGATCTTTCTTAGTCTGGATGGCATGTCGGCAACTGAGACCATAGAGGGAAACCCCCATGAAGTCTTCAGAGCTGTCCAGTGTTTTGTTTTTTATAGTTGTCTGGTTAAAAATAAAAATCAGTCTTTCAAAAGTGATACTGTAAACTCATGATTAAGAGCTCAGATGAAAGAAAAAAACAAAAAAGAGCCAAGATGAATGATAAATAAAGGAATTAATAAAGGAATTCAAGGTTCAGACCTTATTTTCTTGGGTTCCAGAATCACTGCAGATGGTGACTGCAGCGGTGAAATTAAAAGATGCTTGCTCCTTGCTATGACCAACCCAGACAGCATATTAAAAAGCAGAGACATTACTTTACTGAGAAAGGTCTGTATAGTCAAAGCTTTGGTTTGTTCAGTAGTCATACATGGATGTGAGAGTTAGGTCATAAAACTGAGCACTGAAGAATTGATGCTTTTGAACTGTGGTGTTGGAGAAGACTCTTGAGAGTCCCTTGGACAGCAAGGAGATCCAACCAGTCCATCCTGAAGGAAATCAGTCCTGAATATTCATTGGAAGGACTGATGCTGAAGCTGAAACTCCCAATACTTTGGCCACCTGATGCGAAGAACTGACCGATGCTGGGAAAGATCGAAGGCAAGAGGAGAAGGGGACAACAGAGGATGAAGTGGTTAGAGGGCATCAACAGCTCTGTGGACATGAGTTTGAGCAAGCATTGGAAGCTGGTGATGGACAGGGAAGCCTTTTGTGCTGCAGTCCAGGGGTTGCAAAGAGTCGGACACGACTGAGTGACTGAACAGAGCTGAAGATTCAGAGAGGAGCCATACCTTGAGAGTATGGTGTTAGAGACTCTGGGGCTTGAACCCTCGACTTTACCAGATTTTTATTTTTGTGCTAGTGAAGGTGCACAAAATTCAAGGGGTTGAATTCTGGGCAGTCTGAAGCATTAAGACTGAAAAAACAGGACTGAAAATGTAGTCCTGTCAGGGACAGTAAATAGATGCCTGGTTAGACTATCCACAAGATTGGTAGGGGGCTGGTGGCTCAGTGGTAAAGAATCCACCTGCCAATTCAGGAGACGCAGGTTTGGTTCCTGCATTGAGAAGATCCCTTGGAGAAGGAAATGGAAACCCACTTCATTCTTCTTGCCTGGAACAGTCCATGGGGTCACAAAAGAGTTAGACACAACTTAGCAACTAAGCAACAAGGTTGGTAGGGCCAGATGGGTGGTAACCTTTGAAAGTCTAACACAGATGTTATTGCATGTTTGTGATGTGATTAACATTGTCTATAAACTTAGTGGTATTAGGCTGCTTTGAGAAGAGGCATTGTGGTATAGGGATCAAGAGAGTGGGCTTTGATGTCAGACTGGGTGTCTCTCGCACTTACATGTGACCTTGGGTAAGCTAATTACAATTCACTCTGTGTGATTAGTTGTTATATCTATAAACCAGGGATGATGACAGGTCCTACTTCATAGGGTTATTGTGAAAATTAAGTGAAATTTGAGTAAATTGCTTGGTATGGGACCTGGCATTTGGTAATTATTCAATAAACACTTGCACTGTCATATTATTATTTGGAAAGAGAATAAATTGATGTAAGGAGAGTAAGTTTGAACCTATTACAGAAATTGCATCTCTAACTATAAAGCACAAACCTATCATCTTCCTCAATATTTTTCCTAAACTTTCAGTACCCCCAGTTTCCCCATGTCACTTGTTCCTTCCCTGCTTTATGAGACTCTGAAAATTTTCCAGGCCCTGTTTCTTACAGTTTCTATGGTCTCTGTTCCTATTTCCAAATGCAGCAGCTTTCTTTATTGCAAACAGGAAATACTCTGTTTGTTATTTCTTTTAGAGTGTGAACTTGGTGGTGGATTGAAGGAATCTGGCGGAAGTCAAGATGTTCTTATGGAAGAATCGACTTTAGACAAAATAATAGAAAGGTATCTAATGAGTGGCGATTGTGACTCAGTGGGAGAATCCTGGAAACGTTATGGCAGATTCGAGGATGGTTGTAGCAATAGGGAACATTCACAAGGACAAACCACACAGAAGAAAACTCATGGGAGAGGCAGTAAGGGTGAGGAATTTGATCCAGAAATGAGTCCCTTTGGAAGTAGCTTCAAACCACCTTCGGATCTAATTAAACATCTGAGAGTCTACTTAAGGAAGAAATCTCGGAGGTACAATGAAGGCAAGAAACCCTTTAGTTTTCATTCAGACCTTGTTCAGAACCGCAAAGAACACAGTGGTGAAAAGCCAAGGAAATGTAACGAAGGCAGGAAAGCCTTAAGTCACTCTTCTTCTCGGACTGAACATCAGAAACATCAGAAAAGCTGTGCAGGGGAGAAGTTTCAGAAGTGTAGTAACTGCGGAGTAGCCTTTACTCAAAGCTCATCCCTCAGTAAGAAAAACTCCTCTACGTGTGAAAAATGTTGGAAAGGTTTAGGTCAAGATGCAGCCGTAGATAAAGACGAGGGAACTGAGACTAGAGAAGGAACCCATAAATGCAGCAAATGTGGAAAAGCCTTTGGCTATAACACCTCACCGACCAAGCATAGGAGAGTTCACCCTGGGGAGAAACCCTACTTGTGCAATGAGTGTGGAAAAGCCTTCAGTGACAGCTCATCTCTCACGCCACACCACCGAACTCACAGTGGAGAGAAGCCCTTCAAGTGTGATGACTGTGGGAAATCTTTCACCCTAAGCGCCCACCTCATTAAACATCAGAGAGTTCACACAGGTGAGAAACCCTATAAATGTAAAGACTGTGGGAGGCCCTTCAGTGACAGTTCATCTCTTATTCAGCATCAGCGAATTCACACAGGAGAAAAGCCCTACACATGTAACAACTGTGGAAAATCCTTCAGTCACAGCTCATCCCTTTCTAAACATCAGAGAATTCATACCGGAGAGAAACCCTATAAATGTGGTGAGTGTGGGAAAGCCTTCAGACAGAATTCTTGCCTTACCCGACATCAGAGGATTCACACTGGAGAAAAACCATATTTGTGTAATGATTGTGGGATGACTTTTAGCCATTTTACATCTGTAATTTATCATCAAAGACTTCATTCAGGAGAAAAACCCTACAAGTGTACCCAGTGTGAGAAAGCCTTCCCTACCCATTCACTCCTCAGCCGTCATCAGAGAATACACACGGGTGTCAAGCCTTATAAATGTAAGGACTGTGGAAAATCCTTCAGTCAGAGTTCGTCTCTCAATGAACATCATCGGATTCATACTGGAGAGAAGCCCTATGAATGTAACTACTGCGGGGCAACGTTTAGCCGGAGCTCCATCCTTGTAGAACACCTGAAAATTCATACTGGAAGGAGGGAGTATGAATGCAATGAGTGTGAGAAGACATTCAAAAGTAATTCTGGCCTCATCAGGCATCGAGGATTTCACTCTGCAGAATAATTCTTGGAAATATAGTAAGGTGCGGGGTGTGGGTTTGCACAGTTCTCCCTCATTAAGAACCTAGGGTATAAAGGACCACAGCATTGATTAGTAGGAAATTTAGTCACAGTGGTCCCTTATTAAAAACCGGGGGTGTATACTGCCACAGCACTGATTAGTAGCTGCAGCTTTGGTGGGTTGGCAGCTAGGAAAAGTATCTTTTTGTCATTTACCCTTCTTCTTTGCAAGGATGTCAACGTTTGGTAGAGAGTGAGGAAGGGTTGGTAAAGTCTGTGGAAAGAGAAGAAAGTAGCATGTGAACTAATCCTAAAAGGCAAAATTGTGAATATAAAAATCGGGGAGGGGGGTGCATGGGACCCACCTTACTAACCTGTTTTCTTCAGACTTCTTTCTCTCCTAGCTTCCCCTTCTACTGCCATGTTGTGTTACAGAAAGAGGACCTGACTGCAGTCAGGTAACTTGAGTTCTGTCCCATTTTGCCAACTAACTCACTGTGTTTATAACCTTGGACAAATCATTTGACCTTTCTGAATTTTCGTTTCTTTGCTGGTAAAATGAAGGAGTGGGACTAATGATTTCTGAGGTTTCTTTCCCTCTCTCCCTCCCTCTCTTCCTTCTTTTTCTACCTCTGATAACCTCTGAAGCGAAAACATTTTTGATTCATTGGCATTTCAAGTTTCTCCAGTGTGATAGAACATAGCTCATCTAAACTACTGAACTTCTGGCATGGTGAGAATGCAGTATGCTTTTTAAATATTCAATGCTGGAGCTGCTCAAAAGCTATGCACAGGATCAAGTGAGTAGAGGTCAAACAAGTTTGCCATCAGGGAATGTTTTGATTGGACAAAGCACTCCAACCCCTGTGTTTGCTCTGGATGTTGGCTGTGGGGACTGGGAATCTCAGTGGCATATTCCAGGCTGTCTGAGCCATGAGTGTGTAACTGTCCTAGGAAAACAGACGAGGGACTGGGAGGGGTGGGCACTGGGAAACGGGTACTGAATACAGCTATTTTGGATGGATTGTCTTTTGCAAGATAGAGTTCTATTTTTTAAATGTTTGTCTATAGTAAGGACAGTTTCCTGTAATCAGAGTGTAAACATTCTGTGTGGCAAAGGTCACAAGCTAAGATTGGGCCCTTTGATGTGTCTTAGTTGTGTGTGTGTGTGTGTGTGTGTGTGTGTGTGTGTGTGAGTGTGCGTGTTTGTGCGTGCATGCGTGCGTGCATGTGTGTAAGTAGTTGTCACCATTTAAAAATTAAGAAATTTCATACCAAAAAGAAATTTGTCTTGAAAAGTTACTGGGCTGACAACAAGAACAAATATGACTGCCCTTATTTCTGTGGGGCAGTCAACTGGTTTTGGGTATCAGCTGCCACCTTTAGAGGGGGAATCTGTTCTTGCAAAGTTCTGTCATTCATGTAACCTGACTTGCCCACTGTAAGAAGCTGATATTGTGATCCCCTACCACCTGGAGAGTACCTATGCTAAAATCTAAAGAGATTTTGTAGTAAAATTTAGGAATAGAATGTAGAAATGATACAGAATAAGTTTTCAATTAAGTTTTCCATTATGAAAATAGACATCAAAGGAATAGATGTTAGTGGGTTATTCCTTACAAATGTCAGTGTGGAATCTGAATAATAATCTTTAACTGTGAAAAAGGAACTGAAAACCCTGGGTCAGTTAGATTTGGGTCTCAAGTTGTAGGATTCTGAAGGAGCCCCAATGACTCCATGTGGTGCAGAGTTCCTAAAGTTGAAATTTGAGGCAGCTCTTGAGAACGAAACGGGTAAACTTTCAGCTTTGAAAGTGAAGACATGCTTAATGGTCATCTGAGATTCAGCAATATTTGCTGGGATTTAATGGGTTTAATTTGCAGTGCTACCTCTGGATAATGGTTTTGGTTTCTTCCTTGTCTCCTTCCCCAAGGTAGCCCCGAGTGATAAATTGGTCTATATAGTTACTTCTAAATGGACCAGCCAGAGACATTCTAGACATGGAAGAATTATAGCTAACCAGAATTATTCATCCCAGTTGAAATTTTTTTGTGAAAAGATGGAAACCCTGATTTGTTTTCTGGAAAGATGCAATTTATAGAGAGAATTAAATATGTAAAAATCTTGAGAAGAGGCTTGTTCCAGGATGTTAACTTGTTACATTCCCCAACATCCATATGAGGATGCTTTATATCTGTACCAGTTGGGAGTCTGGAACATAAACCTGTTTTTTGGGTTTTATTACAGTTTTATTGAGGTGTAAATTGTGTATTGTGGAAGTTATTCAAGTGTATAATTCAGTGAGTTTTAACAAATTCAGCGAATTGTACAGTTGACAGCACAGTCTATTTTTAGAACATTTTAGCACCTTAATAAGATCCCTCATACCCGTTTGCAGTAATCCCATTCCCACCCTGATCCCAGGTAACCACTAATCAGCCTACTCTCTGTCTCTGCAGAGTTGCCTTTTCTGAACATTTTATATGCATGTAATCATATGTGGTCTTTTTTAGTTGTTCATTAATTTGTGTCTAAGTTCATCCATGTTATTTTCTAAATTCATGTGTGTTGCAGCATATCAGTATTTTAATCCTTTTTATTGTCAAATAATAGCTGATTGGATGGATGTGCCATATTTTGTACATTCACCAGTTGAAGGACATGTGGGTTGTTTCCCATTTGGGGCTGTGAAAAATAATGCTGCTCTGAACATTAGCATGCAAGTCTTTGTGTGGACATAATGTTTTCACTTTTCTTAGATGCCTGAGTAGCTGGGTTATATGTTAAATTTTTGTTTTAACTGTTTTAAGAAGTTGCCAAGTTGTTTTCCAAAGTGACTGCGTTATTTTATATTCTGAACTTCAGTGTGTGAGGGTTCCTAATGAGGTTATATCCTCAAGTTCATCTTTTAAAAAATTTTTATTATAGCTAATATGGTGATTTAAGTGGTATCTCTTTGGGGCTAATGGTATTGATCTTTTCATATGTTCTTGAGCTGTTCATGCACCTTCTTTGGTGAAATATGTTGCCCACTTAAAAAATTATTATTAATTTACAGATCTTTTTATTCTGCAGTAAGTCATTTATCTAGTATGAGCTTTCTAAATACCATGTACTAGCCACAGAGGGCAACCTCAGATCCTCCCATACAGCTTTCATCAGAAGCTTGGTTTCAGTAATTGCTTATATAAAATTGCCTAAGGATATTTAATCTGGCCTATTATCTAAACACTTAAATTCATTTTGGTGTTATATCAGTCAAAAGGTTTTAAACATCTTTTGATTCCTTATAGAATTTTTTTTATTAACCTGTGTTATGCTCTTTATCTGTTACCCAATGAAGAACTTGCATTTTAAAATGTTTCCTCTTTCTGAGTTTCTATTGAAGAAATTTCTTTGTAGTCTCAGGACAAGACAAGGCTTCTCTTGTCAATAAATTCACTTTTATTTACTTATTTTAGAATTTTTTTGTAATGTGGTAAAATGTATTTAACATATATATTCACCGTTTTAACTCTTCTGAGATGTATAATTTAGTGGCATTAAGTACGTTCATGTGTGTTTCTCACACATCCCCACCATACATCTCTAGAACTTTTCCATCGTCCCTAACTGAAATTCACTCGTTAACCAATAACTGCTCATTCTCCCCTCCCCGAAGCCCTTGGTTACTACCATTCTACTTTCTGTCTATGAATTTGACTGTTCTAAGCACTTCGTATAAAAGAAACCATTCAATACTTGTCCTTTTGTGTTGAGTTGTTTCACCTAGCATCTTTTTAAGGTTCATGTTATAGCATGTGTCAGAATTTCATTTTCTTTTCATTATTTTAATGCTAAATAGTATTCTTTTGTAAATATATCACATTATTTGCTTATGCATTCATCTTTCAGTGGTCATTTAGGTTATTGCTATCTTTTGGCTGTTAATTAATAGCACTGCTATGAACAGTGGTTTGCAAATATTGTTTGAGTCCCTGCATTTAATTCTTTGAGATACATACCTGGAAGTGGAATTGCTGGATGGTTCATCCATGTCTTAGTGTATGACAGGATTTCCTTCTTTTTTTAAGGATGAGTAATTTTCCATTGTACGTATATGCCACATTTTATTTATCCATTCATTGATCAGTACACATTTAAGTTGCTTCTACCTCTTTGACTATTGTGAATAATGCTGCAGTGAACATGGGTGTGCAGATGTATCTGTTTCCAGTCTTCTCTTTATATACTCAGATGCAAGATAGCTAAAAGATGATAGTTCTATTTTTAATTATTTAAGGAACTTCCCTGCTGTTTCCTATTGCAGCTGCACCCATTTCACACTCTTAACAACAGTGCTTAAAGGGTTCCTGTTTCTCCACATCCTTGCAAAACTTACTATTTTCTGTATTTTTTTTTTTTTTTTTAGTTTTCTGTATTTTTGATAGTGGCCATCATAATGATTGTGAGATGGTATCTTGGAGTTTAGATTTGCATTTTTCTGATGATTGGTGATGTTGAACATCTTTTTATATGCCTGTTAGACATTTGTATGTCTTCTTTAGAGAAATGTCTGTTCAAGTCCTTTGCCCATTTTTTAAATGAACATTTTCATTTCCTGTTCCACTCTTTTTCATTGTTTTGTTTTCTTTGCTATGCAGAAGTTTTTAGGTTTGATATAGTCTATTTGCCTGTTTTTCTTTAATTTTGCTTGTGTTTTTGGTGTCATATCCGAGAAATCATTGCTAGACCCAGTGTTGTGAAATTTTCCCCCTGTATTTTCTTTTAGGATTTTTATACCTTTAGGTCTTATGTTAGATCTTTAATCCACTTTGAGTTAATTTTTGTGTGTGGCATAAGAGTCCATCTTCATCCTTTTGTCTTTAGGTATTCAGTTTTTCAAGCACCATTTGTTTCCACGTTGTGTAGTCTTTATACCCCTGTTGAAAATCATTTGGCCGTAAGTACTAGTGCATTTCTGGGCTCTCTATTCCATTGGTCTATATGTCTTTATGCCAGTACCATACTGTTTTAGTTACTGGAGCTTTGTCATACACTTTGCAATCAGGACATGTGAAAAAACTTCTAGCATTTTTCTTCTTTCTTTAAATTATTTTGGCTATTTGTGGATAGTTTCCCTTGTTTCTGTAAAAAAATCACTTGGGATAGTATAAATATTTTAACATATTAAGTCTTCAGGCCCATAAATACGAAATGTATTTCCATTTATTTGTGTCAACTGTTCTTTCAGCAGTGTTTTGTAGTTTCCAGTATACAAGTCTTCTATTTCCTTAGTTAAGTTCATTCCTAAGTATTTTATTCTTTTTAGTGATAGTGTAAATGGAGGTTTTCTTAGTCTCCTTTCTGGATTATTCAGTTACTGTATAGAAATGCAACTTATTTTTTAATTTTGGTTTTATATTCTATCACTTTTTCTGTATTTGCTTATTAGTTCTAACAATTTTGTGTTTGTGTGTCTGTGTGATGTTTAGAGTTTTCCACATAGAGGATCATGTCATCTGTGAAAAGAGATATTATTTCTTTCTTCCTAAGTTGGATGGTTTTTACTTCTTTATTTTGCTTGATTGCTGTGGCTAGGACCCAAATACTATGTTGAGTAGAAGTAGCTAAAGTGGGTATTCTTGTCTTATTACTGATGTTAGAGGAACAGGTTTCTATTTTTTACCATTGAATATGATGCTAGCTGTGATCTTTTCATTAATGAACTTTATTTTGTTGAGATAATTTCCTCCTATTCCCTAGTTGAATGAATTTTCCCTCATTTTTGATAGATTTGGTAGATATGAGATCTTCAACGAACTGTGGTGGTTTTTTGTTTTGTTTTGTTTTTTCCTTTATGCACTTTAACTATATCAACCCACCCACTTCTGGTCTCCAAGTTCTCTGAGAAGAAATCAGATAGATTCATTGAGATTCTTTTTTATATGATAAGTTTTTCTTCTTGCTTCTTTCAGGATTCTTTGTCTTTGGGTTTTGACAGTTTGATTATAATTTGTCTAGATTTTTGTATTTTTGTGTTTACAAGTTTACCTTGGGTATATTGTGGGTTCACTTCCAGACTGCTGTAATAAAGCAAATATTGCCTAAATTGGTTCACAGGAATGTTTAGTTTCCCTGTGCTTATAAAAGTTACGTTTACACTCTACTGTAGCCTATTATTAATAATTATGTAATAACATTATGTCTAAAAAACCAATTGTGTGTGTTCAGTTTAAAAAACACTTGGTTGCTAAAAAAATATACATCTGAGCCTTTAGCAAATCATAATCTTTTTGCTGGTGGAGGGTCTTGCCTTGTTTTTAGCTGCTGACTGATCAGGGTAGTGGTTGCTGATTTGGGATGGCTGTGGCAGTTTCTTAAAATAAGACAGCATTGAAGTTTGCTACATCAGTTGACTCTCCTTTTCATGAACAGTTTCTTGGTAGCTCTCGGTCTCAGTGCTGTTTGAAAACATTTTACACCACACTAGAGCTTTCAAAATTGGAGTCAATCCTTTCAAACCTTGCTGCTGCTTTATCAAGTAACTTTATATATAGATAATATTCTAAGTTCTTTGTTGTCCTTTCAACGGTCTTCACCAGGAGTAGATTCCATCTCCAGAAACCATTTTCTTTACTCATCCAGAAGAAGCAACTCTTCATCCATTAAAGTTTTAAATTGCAGCAATTTTCAGCCACATTTTGAGGATCCATCTCTGCTTCTAGTTCTCTTCTGTTTCCACCACATCTGCAGCTCCTCCACTGAATTCTTGAGCCCCTCATAGTCACCCATGAGGGTTGAAATCAACTTCTTCCAGCTGTTGTTCGTGTTGGTATTTTGGCTTCATCCCATGCATCACCTGAGGGTTCCCTGGTGGTGGCTCAGATGGTAAAGAATCTGCCTCCAGTGCAGGAGACCTGGGTTTGATCCCTAGGTCAGGAAGATCTCCAGAAGAAGGGAATGGCAACCCACTCCAGTATTCTTACCTGGAAAATTCCATGGACAGGGGATCCTGGAAGATGGGCTACCGTCCACGGGGATCACAAAGAGTCTAACACAACTGAGTGACTAACAGTTTCATTTTCAGCATAACAAATATTCTTTTTCTTTGGATGCACCGGGTCTTGGTGGTTGCACACAGGGCCTTCAATCTTCATTGTGGCATGTGAGATCTTTCGTTGTGGCATGCAAATTCTTAGTTGCAGCATGTGGGATCTAGTTCCCTGACCCGAGATCGAACTTAGGCCCTCTGCATTGGGAACGTGGAGTCTTAGCCATAGGACTACCAGGGAAGTCCCAGCATAACAGATATTCTTAGTGGCATCTAAAATAGTGAATCCTTTGCAGAAGGTTTCAGTTGACTGTACCTGGATCCATCAGAAACACCCGTCTCCCATCAAGTCATCTTCTGTTAATTCCTCTGGTGTGGTGTCTATTAGCTCTTAAATTTCCCCAAGATTCTGTCTTGAAACCTTTCACCCCCCAGCTTTTTGCCATACCCCCAATCTCTCTCATCATTTCCTTGGTGGGCCCTGTCGTAAGTTCTGTGCGGTAATGTACATCTGGACAGCAGTTTTCTCCAGCGGGAATGTATTGCTTTTGGCTTGATGGCTTTCATAGCTTTATCTTTAACAATGATGGCATCTTCAGTGGTGTAATCCTTCCAAACTGTCATGATGTCCTCTCTGTCTAGGTTCTCTTCCATACTGCCGACAGTCCTTTCCATAGAGTACCATGTGGAGTGAGCCTTAAAGGTCCTCATGACACCTGCTCCAAGGGCTGAATTAGAGAGGTTGTGTTGAGGGCAGGTAGACCACTTTGACACCTTTGTTGTTGAATTCATGGGGATCTGGGTGGCCAGAGACATTGTCCAGTATTTAAAAGAATTTTAAATCGCAGTCCTTTATTGGCAGAGTTCTTCCTGACTTCAGGGACAAAGCACCAGTGTGACCAGTCCAGAAGAAGCATTCTTGTCAATGGCTGGTGTTTATCATTTTCCTTCAAGGTTTGGTGTCAGCAGCTTCATAGTTAAGGGCAGACTGATCAGAAGCTCGACTGCATTTGCATAGACAGGAGAGTTAGCTTTCTATTCCTGCCTTAAATCCTGGTGCTTGCTGCTTTTCCTTACTAAAGTGTCCTTTGTGACTTTTTTTTTTCCAGAATAGGACACTTAACCCCTGCATTAAAAAGCCTGTTTAGGCAGATGCACTTTCTCAGCGATTTTTCTTAGTGGCATCTGGGAAGGTCTGCTGGCTCTCGGCTGGCAGAAGCTGTTTCTTCTGTTATCTTGACCTTTTTTTTAGGCTAAGCCGCTTTCTAAAATTCTCAAACCATGCTTTGCTGGCTTTAAACTCTCCACCTTTAGATCCTTTACCTTGCTTTGCTCTAAGTTGTCACATAATGACTTTGCCTTTTCTTGAATCATATTAGAGTCTATAGCTATGTCTTACTTAGAGCAACCTTGCACCCACGTAAAAGCTGCATTTAAAGGATAAAATCACATATAGTTTTAATTTTTTAAACTTTATTTAGGTTGTGCTTGGTCTTAGTTGTAGCACATGGGCTCTTAGTTATGATATGTGGAATCTTAGTTCCCTGACCAGGGATCAAATCCAGGCCCCCTGTATTGGGAGCATGAAGTCTTCACCACTGGAGCACCGGGGAAGTCCCTTTTTTAAAATTACTTTTTGTTGGCGTATAGTTGCTTTACACTGTTGTGTTAGTTTCTAAAAGGTACGTATTTTGCAAAAAGAACAAGGTTGAACTAGTATGGCTGTGGCTTGAGAAAGATTAAAACAGATCCAGGAACACTCATTATAGGCTATGTTATAGCCTAACCCAATAGATAACATCCATAGGCTTCTAGATACAATTGGCAGTGATATTTGGAATTCAAAAGAAATTGGTTACAGGTAAGACCAAAGGATCTTGGGCATCGGGATATTCGTTTTTCCTAAACATACACATCCATGGTAAAGTTTAGGTACAACAAAATAATAAAAGGGGTTATTATACTGTAATAAAAATTTTTTTGAATGTGGTTTCTCTCACAAAATGTCTTGTAATACTGTACTCATTCTTTTTATCATGATGATGATGTTCTGACCATGTGGCTCCCAGGCTCAGGTTTTATGGTGAC